ACCATTTCTTTATCACAGAACACAATTTCAAATAAAAGTACTCTCCTCACAACAAGAACACAACTTTCACTAGGGTTGTACGTGAGGGTTTGATTATATCTTTATTGATGTAATTTGTAAATACAGTCCTGAAAAAACGGAGTTATTAAAAATATGTACTTTTTAAATAAAGGGTACCACTTTTAATATACAAGAACATTACAGTTTATATCAGCACAATCCGAACACTTTTCCTGTGCAGTACTTCCAATAAAAACCCTTTTTTTAGAAAATGTTCACTCGTCTCTAAATGTTTTACAAAGCTTGTATATAAACACATTAAATCTGGCAAACGAAGTACGACTACCGTTGTGTGAATTTTATTTTCACACTACCACTAATCTTATTATATTCACACTTTTTGTAGTTTAAAATAAATAAATATATGATCTATGTATGTATATATGTGTATAGTTCTGTGTTACTGGAACAAAACGACTAACGCCAGAATACAAATTCTTTGTGTGCAGTACACCTAAAAATATTTAAAGGGAGTTATTAATACAGTCTGGAAAATTACATTTGGATGTATTTTTCAAAATCGACATGTTTTTGTTAGTTATAAGCACATTTCTTTTGTGTGGTTGTAATAATACACTTTTTTTCGGTACATTTGTATTTACTACCCGTACTGGAAAGTCAGCATACCATGTTGTTTTCCATATCTGAAAAGTACAGGAAGCTGGACAAACACAGAGACAACTAGTAGTTAATGTTTAGGTCTACAAGTCTGTAGTGGTAAGGATCTGACAACTGGTCTTTACACTTCACAGCATGGCTAAGGTCAACGACTATGTCATGCAATGATCACCATCTTCACAACGTGACTGTTATAAATCGCCAGTCCACTGCTCATGCATGGAAGCAAGACAGTGACATAAATGATTATAAGTGGCCAAACGGTAAGGAACGGACTTCACAAGTTCGGTTCATTAGGTTTTCAAATAGATTAGATTGTGTATCCTTACAGCTCTGTCTGGCATGGTCAGGTGATTAGGGCACTTGACTCGCAATCTGAGTGTCGCGGGTTTGAATCTCCGTTCCACCAAACATGTTCGCCATTTCAGTCATGGAGGCGTTATAATGTGACGTTGGTAAAAGTGTAACCCAAGAGTTGGCGGTGGGTGATGATGACTAGCTGCCTTCCTTGTAGTCTTTCACTGCTAAATTAGGGACGGCTAGCGCAGATAGCCCTCGTGTAGCTTTGCACGAAATCTAGAACAAACCAAACCTTACCGCTCTGTAAATTATCCTCATATCTGCAGAGACATATCTTACCATAACACTTACCTCCTTACCCATTCTGCAGTGATGTATTCAAGATATCGAAACACTATCATATAACGTTATATTTCTTCCAATACATAGATATATACATACATATATATTAAACAAAACAATAACAGGTGGAAACTTGTATGTGTAGCCTTGCATGGCCTGGTGGTTAGGGCACTCGACTCGCAATCTGCGGATCGCGGGTTCGAATCCCACCACCGAACATGTTCGCCCTTTCAGCCGTGGGGACGTTATAAAGTGACGTCCAATCCCACTATTCGTTGGTAAAAGAGTAGCTTAAGAGTCTAGCATTGCTAAATTATGAACGGCTAGTGCAGA